GTGTGTGCATGCGTCTGTGTGTGTGTGTGCATGCGTCTGTGTGTGTGTGCATGCGTCTGTGTGTGTGTGCATGCGTCTGTGTGTGTGTGTGTGTGCATGCGTCTGTGTGTGTGTGTGTGTGCATGTGTCTGTGTGTGTGTGTGTGCATGCGTCTGTGTGTGTGTGTGTGTGTGTGTGCATGCGTCTGTGTATGTGTAGGGGGGGGCGTGCGTGCGGACTATAACATTTCTGTGAATTTATTCCAAATATTTAATAAACACAATAAGAAGCAATGAATGTGAATTAAATTAAGTGTGAACAGAAAGGGCAATATTTACCAAGATCAAGATCAATAATCTTTAAAAAAAAACTTTCTTATGTTGCATTAGAATTCGCTCATTGTCTTCAAAATTTAAAAAAAAGTATATACATAAATAAAAATGTACTTATAAGCAAAATGTTCCAGGGAACTAAGCTATAGTTGTAGAAAACACTACAAAGTAAATTTCACTGACCATGTAAGTCCGAATTGAAAGATAATTTGCTACCACATATTTGAAGAATTTCACACACAAAATAGCGAAGAATTTAAAAAGATACATAAAACTGCAATGAAATATTCTACAACTACAGAAAATAATGGAAGACAGTTTAGCAGTGATAAATTTTATCTAGGTTTGTTTGTGCTTGTATGTGTGTGAACATGTGCAAGCAAATCATCACTGGTTAGTACAAACGTCATTCTTAGTCAGCAAAATGTGCCAAATTGATGTTTAAAACTTATACAATTTAAACAAAGGCAATTATGCACACAACAAGCTCACCTCAGTCATGGGTATAGGTTTATTATCTTGAACATAGTAACCTTGCTTAATAAGTTTCAAATTAAGGAGAAGAGCTGAGTATGTGGCGAGGTATATGCCATCTGCATTCATTATTGTGATAAGAGCCAAATTGTGAGTTGAACCAACATCATCATGAGCAAGATGTTGGCCTGCAAAAAGACCTAGAACACACAAAAAAAGATCATAGTGAACCTACAATGAGGAACACAAATCAAAGAAAAATTTACTTTCAACACCATTCTAAAAATGTTCGCAAGGGTAAGAAATATTCAACAACTATAATTGCTGAATATTACAATATTACAGCACTCCTGTTGGTGATTTCTGAAAAGAAATTTCTTACACCAAATTATTTTTTTGTGGACCAATTTAACTCAACTATAAATCAATTACTAAGTATTTTCAACACTAGATGTTATGAATTTTTATTATCACATGCTTTAAAGAATCTTTTTTTATTTCAACATTGGCGATTCATCAAAATAGGTACTTTATCTTAATACATTACATTATATTCAAATATGTTTTTAAAAATAAAAATGTACAATACATACATTATTCATCACACTTTATACAAACATAAGCATATTGGTGCACTAAAAATGCAAGACACTCACCGTGACAATATTTAGATGAAAAATCTTGCAAAGCGCCATCTACTTCAATCGAACTTCGAAGGGAAAGCAAACGTGACACAAGACCATGTAGAGATTGCACAAAGTGGCGAGCATTATGTCTTTCAACATCTATGTATTCTTCTCCAATCTACAAAGAATATTTAATAATCACTTATAATCACATTTTTCGAAAACAGAGATCAAGTTCTACGTTGTGCCTTAAATGCACAAGTTGAGAAAGATAAAATGGTTTTTTAATTTTTTTAATGTTTTCTTAAAATCTTTCTTAATTTTATTATTTAAAACCAGGATATGAAATATTTAATTGTTCACTCATTGAAACAAACTTTGTAAACATTTCTTAAAAATGTTATGAAAAAAGTGTCCCCCCACCCCTCTTGTCAGCAGCAGTGAGAAGGGCGCCCTGCATAGTGGAACAATCTAGTACCAGAACAATGCACTTTGAAGTAATGCTCCAAAAAGTGACATTTCTGGCGAATTCAATATCTATTACATATTAATATTGAGCTGCAAAATTCATAATATAGCCTGTATCACACTGAACACCAAAGAACTTCCATTGGAGTGGGGAATGTGAATCACTGGATGATTCTGGAGTAGAAAATGCTCCAACAATTACAGATTTCCAATATCCTCACCTGATGGATAGTAAGATGGTCTTGATGCAATGTACGAGGTAACTTCTCCAAACGAAGAAGTTCCTGCTGTTCTCTCTCACGTTCTACTTCAGCAACAAGCTCATCCATCTAGGTAACAAAGACACAAACAATTAAGTTTAGCCTGAACACAAGGTGCTGGTACACTCAATATGACAGCAATTTCATTTCCTTAGTTAAATCCCATTTTTTTGACTCAATTCTAGCACACAGAATATTACCACCACCGTCAGCACTATTACATATGAATACTTTCCTGTATCACAATTGCCAAGCACTGTTGCAATCCCAATTACTTAGCAGATAATTATTATAAATAATGTTTGAACAGTTCTAAGAATCAACTGCTATATCTGGAATTAAACTCAGACTTCCCGTTATAGTAACTGGGCATATATCAGGAGATCTATGCAACACAGTCAATTCTTTGAACACTTCAATCACCATTTATAACAATTTTCAACGTTTACCTCTACATGGTCGTTGTTGAAACCTTCCTCCGGACCCTCAGTGTCTCCGGATGTAGTGCTACCACTCTGTGAAGGTGGCCTCGGTACAGGATCATCTCCTTGTTCAATTCCACTGCTGTCACTATCATCACCACCTCCACCAGATTTCTTGCCAGAATCGACAATACCATTTGGATCTGAACGACTCACAAGTAACTTCCGTTCATGTTCAATTCGATCCCTGTATGGCTTAGGAAGTCGAAGCATAGATTGGTATGTTAATGGTCCTATCAAATTTAACAGAAAAAATGTAAATGCAATTACAAAAAAGGGAAAACACAAACTATATAAAAATCTACATTGAACAATCTAAATCAGAATTCAATGAATGTTTAAGAATAATTTCATAATCATACAAACTTTGCAAAAATGAATTTAAAAGAAACTGCAACTAAGAAAAATAAAAATCACCTTTTCAAAAACTTTTAAATCAATAAATGCTTAATAACAAGAAATTCAACTTCTATTCATTCCAATCTAGGAATTATTCCTCAGAAACTAAATTTATGGAAATTAAAATACAAATCCAGAAAACTTTAAGTAAGATTTTAGGAGCCAACTACATTTATTGTATCACACTAAATCTCACATCAATTAATTTAAATGAAACAATATTTTTCAAAATGCAATTATTTGATAAAAATTTAGGAGTATTAAAAGTAGCAAAAACATATTTTTATGACTGAATAATACAATCACCAATACCTTTATAATCACACTGCTCAAGTTCTGTGTACATAGCATTAATGCGGTCCATGTAAGTGTGTGTTATACCCTTTCCCGTACACAGTTCCTCTAAAGATCCCAACATTGCTACAATGCATGATACACTAGCATTGCACACAGCTGAATCACTGCTACGGCTACATTCTTCAATAGAATCCATTACGCTGGAAAACACATTAAAACATTTGAAATGAGATCAGCACTTCTCAACAATTGTTTGTTTTTCCCTTCAGATACATCACAGGTTTCTTACATCAGGACACTAGAGCATCAAAAAGTTGCACTAAATACTCACAGCCTCATGAGTGCCATGTCACTCTGTTGAGAACCTTTATCATCTTCTACGAGAATGGGACCGGCAAAATCCACAATCCGACTTGGACTTCGTAGCAACTACATAAATTAAGAAAACAAAGTGAACATTCTTATACGATGGCATCCCTCACAAAACATACTTTTACAATTTTATCACCTATATTTAATTTACTATTGAATGAGGAAGGTTTAATTCTAGTGTACAAAGGCTGCATTTTAATTTTTATTAAATTTCATTTTACTTATTGTCAAAACTATAAAAATTGTATGTGGTATCTAGGAATTAATTACAATTTGTGCACTTCCCTTGAGTTTCAGAATACCTAAACAAGAATAAACAAACATTCTTGTTTACTATTCATAGTTCAATTATGAATTTAGGTACCAACAAATGTGGTTGGCAACATTCAAAAACTATAAATATTTACTCCCAAAAAATAGAAGATAGATTTGCATTGGCAAAAGAGCTACATATTTGATTTTACAGTATTGCCAACAGCATAATCCTCCCCTGCCACACTCCCACGATTAGCAAAAAGAGTTGCCTAAAATGAAACAGGTTGAAATGCCAATTTAAAAGGAAAAGATTAGAGTACAATCTGTCTAAACCAGAACCTATACGAGCCAGAAACCTGATTTAACTGGAAAATTTCTCTGGCCTGTGAAGTTAAATGGCATTTTACACAGAATAACACAGAACCTGTCCGAAGTGGAAATGGAACAATTTTTCTTGTCCGGAAAGGGTAAAAACCTTTAAAAAATGGGATTACTGTATATTTAATGCAATTGGCAGGGAGACATAAGTAACTCTTAATGAAATGAATGCACCTGGAAACCTGTTTTAATTTGTCTGTTGCTGTGATATGCAATTTAGTCGTGGCAGTCACACAGTGAAGGGAGTGCTCAGAAAAGCTTTGGTTGCTACCACAGAATTCAACCTTGGGGTCACATGTCACTCAAGGCTTAGGCCATAGGGGAATTCCCTCCTTCCCAAAACTAAATATTAGTTTTTCAACTTCAGAAAACAACTGGAAAGGTATTAGTAAGTGGAAAAACTAAAAACTCTAGATGAATGTTTGAAAAAATATTTTTGTGCACAAATTGTTAAGTTTTTTCTTTTCATTTTCAGAAAAATGTTTAATACTCATTTAGCGGTGATTTCTTTCATAAGTACATTACATGTAAATATAATTTAATAATTGTCGTCAAGCCATGTAATTTACTAGTTTCAAGTCGGAAATATCAACATCACAAGGACAACCCAGCAAAAAAAGGAAACCTCCCTAGAATGGAATTATTTTTTATCCTGACCAATTCTGTCTAAGACAGATTTCACTGTTCATATTCTTCTTAACTTTGCTACTACTAGTGTCAAAACATGTTTTATATACAGAAATATTAAGCATTTTATTCACCGGCACATATTTTATAACAAGAAATAAGTTATTGAGAGGAAAAGAAGAGAGAAAAAACTGAAGATTGAAGTATTTCTTGTAAATTTATTGATGTGAAATGCAATAGAAAAATTGACAAAGAAATGAAATAGAGATTTATGGAAAAGAAATTCAAACCTCGCGTAATGACTTCAAAGCTTCCAGTCGATGCTGGGGTGGAGGATACAAGAGCATTCGATGGAAGACCGATTCCAAAACTGGCCGCAGGGATCCAACACAACCAACAAGTCGCACGAGTTGAGTGCCTATACTATGAACAATAGAAAGAAAATAATGTAGACATAAGTTGCATATACATTTATTACCATCTCACTTTCAACAAAGATCCTATTTACTTGAGACGGGTTGACACAGTTAAACTCATCTTTATCAGTATCAAAGCTCAACTTTATTTTATCCCCTTTATATATTTCATACACTGTATTCCTGTAAATCAATGATATTAATACATTCTTTCATTATAAATCTCTGATGATTTAGGGTAACATTGTGAGTTACATGATTTTTACTTGACAGTCATTAAAAATTATAGAACTGTTATATCTCAGTTTCATTTTCAGGACAAGTAAAATTCCTTGAAGTGCTTTAATTGCTTTTCTTAAGTACAAAACTTCGTATTTTCACAATTTCACATCTGCATTTACTCACAAACTGACCAACTTTCAATGTCACTGCTATTAATATTTTAACATAGCGGAATGATTACAAAAAATAATGTAAAATGCTTAATAAAAAAATTAATTTATTTTCAAAGCAATTATAGTATTGTTTTAAGTTAAAATCTAAACATATTTCAAGTTAGGAAAAGTCTGCTAACAAGTTATGTTTTCGAGTATTTCTTCTAATCAGTGAACAACAACACATATTCCCTAACTTGACAAAATTCTTCCAGTGCATTATGTCCATATTTGTACTAATTCCTGAAATTATTTTTTTCACTTTCAAATTTAATACTACTGCAATGTTTAATATGCTCCAATGTTGCCAACTAGTAACCATTTCCCCACCTTCTCATCACATTTTTGAATTCCCACTGAAAGACGTATGAGAAGAAAGGACTTTCAAATGGTTTCTAAAATATCCCTAATAAAATCAAGGTAAATTTCAAAACTATTTTGTATTATTACTAAAATAGACTTCTTAAAAGTAGAATAGATATTTAACATCAACACGTTATGATGTTACACATTGATTTATCAAATATTAATTTAGCTAGTTAATAACAAATTAAAATAGCAGTTCAATTTCTGATTATAAATATACTTTATTGCAATGTAACTAACACATTGTATTACTATGTAAATAATTAATTTGCTTAGACATCAATTTTTTTTATTTTATTTTTTATTTATTTAAGGTTGCATCAACTTTTAGGTCATTAGCGACCACACCGTGGCTTGTAATGGTATGGTAACTCTGAGGATGACACGATATGATGATGTTAGGGGGTGAAAGGACGAACACAATACAACCATGCCCAAGGCGGGACTCGAACTTGCAATCCTTCAATCCGAGATCGCTAGGGCACTACTGCCTTAGCAATCTCGGCCATCTGGACCGACATCAATGTTTTAATCAAGATATATTGTATATAACTTGAAATGTGACCATAAATTTCTATTTAATTCTATTCTACTTAAAAAAAAAAGACAAACATGTAGCAACAACTAACCTGTACACAGTTTTTGCTTCAGAACTGTTGAAACTAGGAGCAGTGGCCAGGCACCCTGAGCCCCGACCTACTTCAGCTCCCTCTGTGGAAGCGATCTTGTCACGTGACACAATGTTTTTGTCTACTCTGGGCGAGCCAAGGAAGGCAATAAGAGCAGGACAAAATTTCTGCCAGAGGAAGGTTGTGAAGTGCTTGTTGTTATGGATCTGCTGTGGCAAGCAGGACACCAATGTGTGAAGACACTCGAGAAGAAACACCATGCTACTTCCACAACGGCCGCCTCTGTAAAAGAAAATAATTTGTAATAATCATTCTTCTAATCATCTTTTCACTTTACTTTATTTGAAGTATTTCAATGCTTAATCCAAGAAGTTTTTATTATACACCTTACTGTTTTTATCACAAATTAAATAAATAAAAAAGAATAAAATGCTTTCCTTTCTAAAAAGTTACAGATCCCCCCCCCCCCAGTAATCTTTATGTACAAAAAATGAAATAGCCTCCAACCAATCTGCTAAAAAAAGGTAATTTGATTTACTGTGGTGAAAAAGTTATGCCTCAATAGAATCCTTACCCCTAGCCTGTCACAAAGTTAGTTTAATTCTGAGGTTCCAAGCAAAATGGTCAGAACCTAAATAATACATTATAAATAAATGTTACATTTATAAGACAGATGGTACAACTAGAATCTGATTTCCACTGATTTCAAGAAATATATTTTTGACTACCAAATTATTACAGAATATCACATACTGAGTTTAGCAAACAATTATTCAACCATTAAAATTTCTTAATATTACATTCTTATTAATTTCTCAAGAACTGTATTTTAGTTTATAATTTGTTGTCCATGGATTATTATTCAGATATACTTAATTAAAAAACACCTACTACACTTCCTTCTTTCTTATATTGTATTATATTATTGTACTGTAGTATATAAAAATGACTTGTTCCATTTCTTATGTTATCACCAGTGGGATGAAATTAATCTAATCTAATCATTAAATCATAATCTAATACCAAGAATTTACAACACAGAAGAAAATGCTTTACGAATTCTTACGCTTGTGCTTCATCCATCTTGCTACAGATAAATTGCAAAATAGGAATAACTTCATTGAAACAAGATACACCAGATCCAACATCACCATCTCCACCTCTTTTCAGGCTACGATCGAGTTCCTGCGATTCTTCCTCTGCAAAATAAAACAAATTGATTTATAAACTTTTTTTTTTTTTTTTTTTTTTTTTTTTTTTTTTTTTTTTTTTTTTTTTTTTTTTTTTTGATAAAGCTTAAGTTACGATTCTCACATTTATTATATCTCTAAATTGATTAAAACTTGTGAAATGAACAACCTTGCAGCAGGAAGAACAAAATAAAAGATAAGGGAGAATGAAAAAAAAGCTTAAGAGAAAAAAGTCTGATGCTATAAGTTGAGAAGTGGTCAGTACACATTAAGGAAAGATATCACATCAATTCTCAAAGAAATGGTAATGAAACAAAAACTACAAGTAAAAGTAAGTTAGGAAAGAATGGGAAATCAGAAACACTAGGTAAACAGTACAGTACGGACTCTAGTAGTGACTTTATCAACAAGCAAACATATTGTCTACATCGCACAGAAGAATGTTAGTTATTAGCCCATTTAAGAGTAGGTTGATCCAGATATTCAAAAAAGTAAAGCAGGCATTACTCCTTCACATTTATCTCTTTTCCCTAAATTACTTCAGTTTTATCCTTTTTCAATAAAAACATTTTAGGACAGATTTTAATATATTGGTATTATGATGAAGTTATGATTTTAATAAAACTGAACACAGTAATCACTTTTAAATGTGTTAATAAAGCAAAATTGAACTTCCAATTCAGACTAGTGTGTTTAAAAACATTTAAGCCCAAATAAATAAATTTAGCAAAATTGTGGAAGTTTTATCTATGAATAAATAAAAGGGAATGTTTGAAAGTGTGTCGCACACTGGGGCAAAAACAACTCGACTGATTTTCTTGAAATTTTCACATTTTGTTCACATTAGTGATGGGAGTGTTTAAAGAGTGGTTTGAATTAAATCCCACATGTAGGGGCATTGACGATTTCTTTGTTTATAATGATTTAAATGTAATTGAACTCTATGCAACTCGCCACACAGTCAAGGATTAAGCATGTCTTCACTGCATACAAATATTCCACCCTTTGAAAATATCTGCCGAAATCATTACCCAAAACTCAGATAAGTAAATCAAATTTCTCCAAGATAGTGTCATAGCGAATGCATGCCCAAATTTGAGGGAGAATGTTTTAATAATGGGATACTTGACAACCATGACTAAACCAGGATATAGAACAATCCCGTACTTGTGAGTGTCTTTCATCTCTTAGAATTTTGGCATTTAGCGTAAAATGTGATAAATAATCACATGACTAGTTGTGTGTGATGTGTAATACACTGCAATAGCAAAGTATTGTAGGGTCTACTAGTGTTTTTATAAAAATACAATTTTCTAAACATATTTAACTGTAATAATCTACAAAAAATAAATTTTGAATTCAAATGGTCATTGGAAATCTGTCAAGATATACAAACAAGCAATGGATGCATTCTCATTTGCTTTACTCATTTGCTTACACTGGTCTTTAAAAAAATAAATAAAAAATAAAAAAAAAAAAAAAAATTATTTCACAAGAATGACAATAACAAAGTCTACAAGTATTTTTCATACTGAATTCAAATATAATTTCAGTTTTTCTCCATCAGGCTAAAGTTTTGTGTGATATTCATATGAACTTTTATAATTTTTAGTAAAATCAGTAACTAGCTATCCAACTCTAAATAGTATACTACTCGTCTTGACATACATTCTGACTTTTCATTCTGTACCTAGAAAGTGGTAATAAAGATTTTCTGTCATATTCTGTGTCTGGAACATCTCTCCTCTTGGTCCAACAGTAGTCGGCCAACATATTAGAACTACCTTCATCCTGTTTCCCTGTGTAGAAATTTACTGATGAAAACTTTCATGGTGCTCATTGCTGACAGTCCCATGATTTCCCAGGTGGAAGTCTGAGTCAGAGTGTAAGAAGTGAATTTTCAAAGACTTGTTACATCCCATAGCTTTATAAGAATGCAGAAGACCAGCCACTATGTCCGATAGTGTTCTGCTTCATGGTTTCCAAGGAAATCGCAATATAATTTTTAGAAAGACTAAGAGGCTACTCTTCCCAGTGGATTTAATAGTTCTTTGAAATGTTCATTGGCCATTAATGACCACATTTGTGGTCCTAAAAAATCCCTTTGTTCAATTTAGCATCACTTACATTCGGAAATTTTGATTTTAAGTACAAGAATCTATGAAAAATTTTAGCCACAGATTTTACAAAATGTTTCATTCCTTCTAATTTAACATAAAATGGAGGTAAATATATTTTTCAGGATTAACTATACATGTAACACATTTTTCTGATCAAGGATACGAGATTCCTTTTATATTTGTCAATCAGAAATTAAAATCACTTAGATGATCCTTCGATTCCCTCCAAATCAAAGGAATTGCAAATGGCCTATGATATATATTGCTTTTCTATAGACAACAGTCTTAACACACAAAATATTTATTTTGGACCAGCTCTTTTCAAAATCACCAACTTGACAGCCCAAGTGATATTGATAATATTTTTCTGCAACTGGCGTTGAATTTTGCCATTCAGTCTTTCAAGACAGCTCACTACAAATACAGCACAAATTATCTGACGATTACACATGTTCTTAGCATGATGAAAATACAAAACACAACTTACACAGTACACTTCTAAGGAATAAAGGAAGAAAATATATCACTAGTGACATTCATGCTAACAAGCTCATAGATATCTCAAGACTGATACACCACAATGGTAGGTTAACTGGTCTGAGCATGTCAAAACATGAATGAACTTGCACAGAATTGCCTGTTAGTGTTTCAATAGTAATATTACATATAATACTCTCAAATACAGCTTGAATAAAGTTGCTACATATACGGTCAACATTCCTAAGGCAGATCAAAGAGAAAGTTAAAAATCAGAACTTAAAAAGTAGCTGTCACAAAAAACTGTGCCTGATGGAGAAATTCTGAATACATATCTGAATACAATATGAAAAAATGCACTAGATTCACTAATCATATTTCTTGTGAAGAAAACCTTGTTATGCCTATTCGTTAATTTTTTCATATCATACCTAAAAAGTTGCAAAATGAGCGTAATGTTTGACATGTGGCAGCTTCAGCAGCAGTTCTTACAGCTTGATTTCCTGTTTCATGAGCTTCACTGCATAGCGTAAGAATCTGTATGATAATACGACCATTCATAGGCCAGTAGTTGCAAGCCACATTCAAAAGAACCTACAAAAATAATTGCATACAGCATAAGTAGAGTAAGTCTTAAGAAAACATGATTTGAATTACTCCTGAAATTTTCTAAAATTTAACTTGTTTCACATCAACCATATATTTAATTTTCAATCAATGAGGAAAAATCATAAAATTACATTAAATATACAAATAATTATTATTGTAATGTATTCACATACCTTCAACATATCCACTTGTGTGTCATCAGATTGAGTGAGAATTGAACTCATGGCATGTAGCAACTGAGATGGAAGCCATAGAGAATCATCTTCAGGCTCAAAATTAGATTGAAATCGATCATCTCGCAGAAGTTTCTGAAATAATTAACAAATTGTTTCATATTTCTAAATACAGGAATTGTGACACAAAATCTTTAAAAATACAATGTTGGAGTATCAAACAGTCAAAGAAAAGTCCACTAGCATGCAGCTCTAAGTGTCTGGGGACTTAAAAGTTATAAGGGCAACTTGGCAAATGATGTTTCTCTACAAAAAAAGTTTAAAGAATTTACTATTCACACTACATCTGAATTAATAAATGCAAGCAAAATAAAATTCTTACAAAGACAAAGAAAGAAAGAAATGGGAGAAGCAAAACGAAAAGGAAATAACCCTGGAAAAATAACAATAATCTGTTTATACTGAAAGGTCTCACCAGTTACTTCATAAAAGAAATATTATTTGAACTGCATTAAATCAGTAGAACAACCAGGATTTTTCTAGGGAAAGAGAGTTATAGGTATAATGTCTATTTGATTTGATGTTTTTTATAAAAAAAAATTCATTTATTTTGGTTTTAAAATTAATCCACAAAGGATTCTTGACTGGGCAAAGAACAAAGTTGAGCCCCTGGTCAAAGGGATAAAAGGCAATGACTGACTGTGACTAAGTTAACAGAAAATTACTCCACATTTGATGCTCATATAAAATGCTTGTAGGACATTGAAACAAACAACATAACAGAACTTAAAAAAAAAATTATCATGATGCCCTGAGTTGTGTGTTACATGAAGAATAAGTTCAAATCCAATTTAAAATTCCAGTAACAAATCTGTCTCAAACTATGAATTTAACATGAAGCTTTTACTAATATCAAATCAACCATAGCCGGGGAGTTAACACAGTCACACGGGTGTGGGTTTGTATTGCACATGACACGGGTATTTCGTATCATGAAGCTTTCCAGTGAGCACATTTTGTTGAACTCTTCATTGTCAGTCATAGCAGGGTTGGGGCAGAGGGTGAGATGAGTTAATTTGCCAGCAATACTCTACAATCAAACCTGTAATTTGTTTGCCATTATAAATTAAGTTTTCTACTCCTTGAAAAAGAAAATTTTCTTGATTTCGAAAGTTGCTAAGAACTTTTTGTTAGTTTTTTCTTCATCATTCAACTTTGTATAGTAAAAGAGTGAGGTAGAGATTCTAGAGCTCAAGAAAAAACAGATTATACTTCTCCAACACACATCACATACAGATTTTACTGGATTTAGACAAATACAAAAACAAAACAAATCATGGGTTGTGGTACGGTAACCATTTCATTACCCTACATCTCATCCCCAACTCCTTTTCTCTTCACTACACAAGTAAATTTATTTGTATCATTATCTCTTTCCCTTGTAGTTGTAGAAAAGTGCTGTCATAGGCCTGTGATCTTCCTCGACATATTATACAAGAGAAGTGGCTGAGATGGACCTATAGGCTATCCGCACACATCAGTAGCCCTTACAGTCATGAGGTGTCAGCAACATAAGCAATACTGATAAAGATATGACATAATGAAGGATATCAAAAAGAGTATAATGCATGAAAAGTAGGTAAAACAATATCAATCAAAATGTTGGATATCAGATAATTGCTGGTTTTACGAACTACTGGTCTATTATCAAGTCAAGCTTGGGAAAATCTTCATCTTTAATAAGGCTTCGAGTTCAAATGCATTAAAAAAAAAAAAAAAGTCAGTTAAACAGTTCAGTTTCTTAGCTAGTACCATTATATAATTAATGTACTTAAAGAAGAAATTAAAAACAGTTACATTACTAAAGTGAAACATATTCAACGTACTGATAAACAAACATTTGAATTTTGATATTAGGGAAAATTAAAGCATTTGTTTGGAGCAAATTTGGAGACAATTTTGAAAAGATATGGGAGTTGGACAGTATGAAAACAAGGTAAGTCACAACCATAGGTTACAGAAATGTAAAGGTGGAGAAATTCAAATAGATCACAAAAAAGATATACAAAATGACAAATAAATAGAAGTTCTAAGGAAGGTAAACAATGACAGAAGGTAATTAAAAAAGTTAAAGTAAAGAGTATATAAGGAAGTACAGAGAAAAAATTAAAATTATGGAATGCAAAAAGAATGAATGAAGATTTTGGTGACCTGACAAGACAATAATTTGCTTTTTATTTCAGGAGAAGCATTAAAAGAGTAATTTTGAGAAAAGAGGAAGACAATCAAAAAATAAATACTTGGATGATATCATGATTAAAAAAGAGTTGATGGATACAGTAGATTGACATTTCTATAAGTTTAATACATTTGGACTTATAAACTCAAAAATTTCAAAAAAAGCACAGGATAAGAAGGAAAATTACCTAAAAAAATTAAACCCAAAAATACATCAGAGACAAAAACTTCAATGAAAATGTTGATAACAGCTTTTCTGAAAGCTAACGGACATTACATGAGCAACAAGTAGGCAATAAGACAAAATAATGAGTTTTACACTTTACACACTTACATGTAATCCCTGCAAACCATAGGCTACAAACTTGCTCCTCTTTGTTTCGACAGCCAATTGTAGAGTATGAAGGCATTTTGCTCGCAACTCGTGTGCAGGGTCCCTAAGCAATCCTTGTTGTGCCTCCAAAAAATCTAAAATAATATTACTAAGAGTAAGAACTCAGTTCACTCAATAGAGATACAAAAAACTATCATATATTTATAAAAAACATATTTGGAGGTTTACCATAAGCCTCCTGGGCTGACTTTTTGAGAGCTGACAACTTGGTACTGGAAGCTTCTTTCACAATAAGCAAAAGAAGGTCCTCCATGTTTGTGGGTTATTTCATATCTCAACAAGCCGGAAATCCTACAAACGTCCTTAATAACGCGAAAGAAAGGAAATACATTTAAAAACCGTAACACATAAAATGCTTCATTTTACGGAACCTATTCTTGAAACTGTCAAAATACCGCAAAGGATGTTTGACAACCATATGTTTAGTAAACAATATTATGACTACTGATGCTTCTTAACACACTCAATTCTAAATCATTAAAGTAGTTACTACAAACCTAAGGACACCATATGCTCTAGTTCTACTACTGATCTGCGGTCGTTTTACTCCTGGTTTATTCGGTGCATTTCTTGAACCACCCTGACCACCCTTATCAGTTTTGGGATTGGTTCCGTGACGAATTGTGGGGGCGTTGCACATTCGCGATCAAACAATCGTCATCGAGAGGGAATTTTAAACCGACTTCAAATAACGGCGCAACAACTTTTATAGTCAGTAGTGCCGATAATGTAATGCATGTTCCAACCCGGGAGATGGCAGCGTTCCTTCATTGTTGTGACGTGAGATCCTGCACCGACATACACTTTCCTCCTGGTAACTCCCTCAGCGAGGTACCGCCTCAACCGGGACAAGCTCTAAAAATAAGCAGTGTCGGCACCAGAGAGTATAGGCACTATAGGCATGGACAGCTAGGGTAATCGCCCATGGCTCCACAAGTAAAGGGGTCCGATGACAGGAAAATGTAAGTTAAAAAATTGAAAAAGAAATTAGTAAAATGTAAGTAATAAAATTATTGCAAATCGTTGAGAAAAAGTAACTTTATTGAATAATAATCATATTCCAATATATGTAAGTTTCAGCAGTGGCGGATCCAGGAGAGAGGTCTGGGGGCCATAGCCCTCTCCAAAAGGACTAGAGATTTCGTTTGTTACCTTCCTTTATTTGGCAAAATTGATTTAAATATTTTTTAATGTTAGAATTATGTAATTATTTTAAAAACTATTTGTATAATACCATATATACACTACAAAAACAATATACAATAATTACATTATTATAAAAATTGTTTATTATTTAACAACAATCTATGCTGGCCCCTCCCAAAATAATCGGCTGGATCCGCCCCGGTGCTTCAGATAATGATATTTACATTTATTATACGAGTATCTGTGAAATGGAAAAATGTAGGCAATCAAAAGACGCTAGCATAAAGTAGATAGAAGTGATTTTATTATTCACTAACTAAACAACACTTTTTTTTAACTTTTTAAGCTTGCAGTGGAAATTGTATTATTTTATCACTAAATACGTTTACTTTAAACTATTATTTAAAATACATTTCCAAAAACTTTTTCTAGTCTATTTGTTGAAATAGAGTAACTCATACATAGTTCCTTGACATAACTTTCATGTTTTTATGGGAGGGGGGGGGATGCACGTTTCAACATTGCCCCGCGTCCAAAATTATCTACCTCCGGCACTGACAATAAGCTCCCGATTCGTCTTCTGATCGTGTTATAGCGGTGCTTGTGAGTGTAATAAAGTGTGTGTATCCTAGCCGTTATTATCAAAAGGAATGTGTAACCATCATCTCTCATTAAAACATGTTTAAGTTTTCAAATGTATTTTCAATTGAGGGATTTTTAACACACATATGTCTCCGTTTCTTTGGAAGAAGAAGAAGAAGAAGAAGAAGAAGAAGAAGAAGAAGAAGAAGAAGAAGAAGAAGAAGAAGAAAGAAAAAAAAAAGAATTCAAAAGGTACTTTAAAAACTTCAAAGGTTTGGGAGCATGGGTCAGAGCGCTCTAAAATGTATATCCCTCATTTTTCTCCCCACTATATAACAAGTGGTTCTTCAACAGGAGTAATAGGGAAATATTGCAATTTCGTCGCTGCTAACACCTCAGCTAGTACCGATCGAAGTTTCCATTAAAGTCAGTTTCCCGTTATTGGTTTTCAAAATTTACTAAGCCAAATAAAATGCATTTCGACACAAGTTTCAAATAGTTTACATCAATTTCCCTAAAAAACGTCAATGAAAATAATTTAACAAAGATGTTTGTTTTGCCTCTTTCTTTATTAATGCTTCTTTCTCAACATCAACACAAACTAAATTCAGTGTATTTAATATTTCATTGCTATTCTAAGAGAAAAATTGTTCCTTCAAGTTCTTTATTTGCATAAGTGCATCACAATATGTTTTGACAGAATTTTCTGCTCTCGTCGTTTCTTCCTTTTTTTATGTCCAGAAGCAAAATAAGGGGCCTTCCCAGCAATTGCATGATAAATAATACACTAAATGTCGTTGTTAAAATTAATATTACTTTCCTTTTGGATGCTTGGTATAGTCTCAAATTGTATAGAAACAGCTGTGCAGCAGAAGAGATTTTTCTTGGGACTTGAACTTTTGTATTGACTTTAATCGTTTAATGTCATCTGGCAATTTGTTGTAAAAATAATGTACATGTGTGTGATTTTTTGTAGCGAGCTGTTGATACTGTCACCTGATAAATATGATTTCTATGTCGAGTGCTGTAGTTATAAACATGCGTTTAATGAAAATATATTCCCGCTTTTAAGTAAGTTATTTTTGACAAAAACCACTGATTCATATATCAAGAAAGTTCCCTCTACCACGAACTCATCATTTATGGAGCTCTACGCCAAAGACCAGCTACGTACTTAACTAAAGACTCGTAACATTTCAAGCGCTTCGAATATTCAGAGGAAAATGGAACTTAACACACAAGTCCCTTCGGCTAAGAGAGAAACGATGGCACTTGCGTCATCGGAATCTGCTTCCTCTTCTGTGAATTTGTCAACTTCTAGCGGATCGTGCTGTGTGTCCCAGGCAGTTGCGGTTGCTTTGTCTGGTCGCCAGGTTGCCAGCTCAAAATAAAATGAAAAAGGATGTCAGTTTCTGCGTTCAGTACGTTATCTTAACAGCAGGTAAAATTATATGTATTTGATATAGCAAACACATGGGATCGACATATTTTTCCGTTGAAGGCAGTTTCCGTAATTCGCGGGTTCCGTTTTCGACGGGTTCCACTGTATCACGAACGTATACGTGTGTTTAATATCTTGATATCCGACTTTATCTTCTTTCTATAATAAAACTAGAAATTAGTTAACGAAATTAAATTTGGGCCCACTTTTAAGAACGAATGAGGGTAACACTGTTACGACAATTAGTAAAAAAAATAGGTGTCTCATTTACCTTGTGCTTCCTACTTTAAGTAATCCATTTACGTATAAAGTATCTTGAACAAATGAATGCTGGGAACTGATGAATGACTACATGCAACAACATAATTGCTACATTTTCCCTCCAACAGCAGAAGACCAGAAAGACGGCATGACAATACGGCAATACAGATACAATGCCTCATCTCTTTAATTTAAAATCATTTATTTCACAATAAAAGCTTATTATATGACCTTTTTCAAATTTGTATGAGTAAAGAAACAGTTTTGTTATAACTGCTCGATTTTAAACTACCTAATAATGAAGCCACGCGGCATAACGAATTGATGATAATAAAAATAATTCGGTTTTAAAATATACAAATGGTTTGTTTGTCCTTAAATATCCTGATCATACAACTGTCCTACAAAACTGAACATGCAATCATTGATTGGCTTTTAATTAACAATCTATAATTACCTCCGTACGTCATAGTCGATCGTCGTTGTTAATCTAGTTAATTCCCTCTCTTTAAGTGTTGTGAAAGATTTTGAAAGTGGCATAAATTTAATACCTGAATTAGAAGAATTTAATAATGAATTGGAAAATAAAAATAAATGCATTTCTCACATTTGCTCTTGTTCTTTTTGTTGTATAATTCTTTTCATATTTAAATCCACTTATGTACTTCATTTTTGTTTTAAATATTTTATATAAGAATACTAGAATTAATACGTAAATATTAAATAAGATCTGCGTACAAATTTAAATACTTATTTTATTTATTATTAAACAACAGCTGATGACAATTTCTAGTCTCTGAATAGAAATTATATATCTAGGGACTCGAAAAATTTCAGGGTAGCAGCACACTCAGTTGCCACAATAAGGAACTTCTTCCATTGCGACTTACATATATAATCGTTCAAGAGCTTTTGCACGTTTGTAACTCTGTGTTTTAACCCGTTTTCAGGGCAACTCTCGATTGATCGAGAACTGAGAAATCGATATGCATGGAAGGTAGCTCTTCAATCGAGGGAGAGAGTCGATATCGGCAGTTTAAATTTTTTGATTTCGAGAGAGACGCGTGAACATCTACAAACTTACGAAAAGCGGGAACTTGCCGTAGTAGGCGTGGTAATTGTAAAATGCTCTAAATATAGGATGTGTATTCGTACTGTGTTTACGATATACATTGGCGTAGAGAATCTGAAGAAATGTTTCAGAAATGTCTAATGATTGGAACAGTCTTAACGTCAAAGAAAAAATAATGCTTGTCACTACAGATATGTATGTTACATTTTAAGGTTGTCAAATGCATGAAATGTTATTTGTGAATTCATGTAACTGTTATATCTCAATTTTAAACTTTTTCGATTTACAGACTGCAACTTCTTGACAGTATTTGTGAGAAAACAAAACCGGGTGGTGAACTGGATTCTGTAATTGAAATAGTAAGTAGACATTGGTTATGTTTACTCAATTTATCTTTAATACTATACATGGAAGTGCATCTGAGAATCAGTGTTGCTTGACACTTTGTCATCCAGAAACCTAATGTTCTGAGGGCCTTAAATATTTATCAAAATTGAAAGTTTCTTGATGAAGCTATGATTTTGAGCTTTGAGATTCAAATACACAATGTTCCCACTTTGTCACTTAATATGCGAGGTAAGTGTGATTTATTGTAATTCTAGTTATTATTTAAAACCCTTCCATTTGCATTTTTCTTTAACATTACAGATTCTGGGTGTATAAGATTACTGAAATAGCATAATACTTGTGGGTCATTAAAGAAACACTGCATTTCTTGTTCCTCAGAATTCAATTTTTTTTTTTTTTGGTTAGATTCCATAATATCATCTATATATAGGTTTTATTGCAATTTTGAAATCTATTTCTTGTAAAGCAATTTTTTCTCATTACTTTTATTACTATTATATTTTCTGTTTCTATTTTTTATATATACTATTATATTTTCTTATTACTTCAAGAACCAAAGTACATAATGGATGAAACATTGAATTTGCCATAAGTCTTCAATTGTCACCCAACACATCCTATTTCAAGAAAATATAATAGTAAACAGAAAAACATCTATCATATAGAATTTACACCTGAGACATATTTTAATTGTCTTGGGGTATACTGAAATTTAAAAAATTGAATACTTTATTGTAACAAAATTTGTTGTAATTAAGAATAATTCATTGTAATTTCAACTTTCTTCATTGGAGCATTCAAGAACCTTGCTTCACAACTGTAGGATATTTAGAAAACTCAACAATTTATAACTATGTATTCAGAATGGTACTCTATTGTGGAAGAAAATACTTCTGCAATATGCACTGGAGAAATGTTATGGCCAGTTAAAAAACACTCGATATTTTGTAACCATTACACAATAATGATGAGTAACTCAACTGCTTAGAGCCGGAAGTGTCTTTGATTATTCAAAAGCTAGATATTTATCAAATAATTGGCGTATGAAATATTTTTATTCAAGACGTGTTTACGGAATGTTTTGTGTTTTGCATGATTTTGTTTGCTGTTTATTGTAGATAATATTGTAAGTACTCAATGGAGCAAATATTTTTTTAAAAAGGGGTCGATGAAAGAAAACCTGGTTTAAAAAACCTAAATCAAAAAGGGAATACATGTAACTTTTAACAGTTTTTTTATGTCACTGTTGCTTTGAAAAGTGAAATAAATTGACCTATTAGAAGACTATTATATTGCAGAAAGTGAAATTTTCCAATATACCACACAAGTACCTACATTTATTAAAATCTTATTCAAGTTTACACTCGAATGTGCTACAGTATGCAGGATATCAATCTGACCCCTACACTCATTTCTAGGGGACCTCAAACAATCGCCAACAATGATTGATAAAATGCTCTTAAAATGCCCTAAAAATGAAGAAGAATGAGTAAAAAAATAAACCAAAACCAGTTCAGATGAACAAATTGAGCTGTTTTTATCCACGATTGTTATTGTTTATTGATGTAATTAAGGATTCTTCCTATCGTTCAAGTGAAATCGGCTTGCAAACTTTTGGTTTGGGCCCGGAAATCTGTCTTTAGTGATCTCGAAATGTGCCAAACTGACAATGGTGCTGATAGGTGTCACAGGAACCTTAGATTACTCAATCACGACTGCTGACGTAGGCTGTGGAGAAGATTTGTTGCATCTCGTAAATATTTGAAGCAAGAACCATTAAAATGTTAAAATTCATGAAACTAGCAAAAAATGACTTATTAGTAGATATCTATAAAAAATGCCATATATGGGTCATTTGCTTTTGTCATAACATAAAATTAATGTCCTCAATACTAAAAGGCATTGTTCTAAAGGGAAAGAAAAAAATCATTAAAATCTACTACTTATCACCCAGCGGTGTGTCACAAGGTTGTGCCTTTTCCGTTTGCTACCATTATAACTACCTTATTGCAGAATCATTTAGAAATTAATATATAATTCTGATTATGAGGTTTTTAAATGATAAAAATGTAAAAATGTGAAAGTGTGACTCTACATCTACAGTCCATACTTATGAAATACCTGGGATTTATTTTGATAGAAAGTTAACATTCAAACTACATGTAGAATAACTAGTCAATGCTGTAAATAAAACTTTGGGTTTAATTATTTGAATAGTTAGAATATAAAAAATTGGTAAAAGTTTTATGGGTGTTATTCGAAAATGTAAGTCATGTATTGGAAAAAATGCCAGCATAGATTTTTAAAGTACCTTGAAATTAAGGGGTTGATATCTTTATCAAGTACCTTTATGACAAGGTTGATATTCAAACACCAATATTGTTCAGAGGCAGCATTTAACAACGACCTTTTTTTTTTTTTTCAAGGGCTTGAGAATGTAGATGATTAGCCTATACTTTCATTCACATGTTGCTTGTTCCTTCTTATGCTTCGTGTGTATGTAGACCATTTTATTCACCAATTCCAAGTAATAAATATGTGTCTAGCTTGGAATTATCAAAAATGATCTATATAATTAATAACTCTGTTTCTTCTTACAAATATAATGATGTGTTTGCTGATTCTTAACGGAATTTAGTAATAAAGCAAAAATATATAATGGTGGCATGGTGTAAAATTTTGATACGAATAAGTACAGAAATGAGTTATTCCTGCATGCTTTGTATTGGCAAATGAGAAAATGTTTTCTTACCCTTCATTTACACTGATTTTATGTCATTTTATTGAATTCTTTTAACAGATCTCATCTCTAGTGAAAACAGCTATTGGACTTGATGTAATTTAAGTTTTTGATCAGAACTATTTATATGTTGCGTTTGTTGTGCTGATTGTAAACCTACATGATTTGTTTATGTTGTTTTTTATAGGCATCAGAATCTTTTGATCCTCTTGGTGAGCTCCTGCAAATTAACTTGGAAGAAGAAGATGATAAATCTATTAACATAAAAACTCTTAGCCAGCACATCTTATCAGGTCATAGCATTATTACTCCAGAGGTAGAGAGACTGCTGGGAATTTCTTTTAAGCCAGCCGCAAGGAATGTAGAAGAAAGTGAAAGCAACAAAAGTTTATCTACAAGTAGTCAAAGTGAACAAATAAACCAAAATAGTAAAAGAATTGATGAACTGCTAGCTAGCAGGAACTACAAAAGACATAGGGACTTGGTGGTTGAGAAAGTGTCGTCCAAGCATAGTCCTGCCAAAGATCTAACCCAACCAGGACCTAGTGGTTTACAAACAAGAAGAAAAGATACCTCAGTCCAAGAAAGGTTATTGAATCAGAACTTTAGAAGTTTAGGTCCACCAAGGCCAAGTGCTACATTTTCTGAACACACTAGTGAAAGAAGGAAGCCAGAACATTCTGAAAATTTAAGTCAGCCAGGTCCTAGTGGAATAACAGCCTTCTCTAAACGAGTAGCAAGGAGTTCAGGAAAAAATGAGGTGAACCGAAGTCTATCGAGAAGAAGTCAAAATGAACAAGTGAATTATGATGTCAGTAAAAGGATGCAATTAAAGACCAGGAGAAAAGATGCCTCAGTTCGAGAAGAGTTTACGAAACAGAGTTTTAGTGGCCAGCCACAGCCAACCGGCACGTCTCAAGAGATAGTTGAAGATAGGGAAGAACGTTGGCTAAGGCAACACTCTGAAGTTTTAAGCCAAACAGGTCCAATTGGAGTAAGTTCCCCTAAACGTGCGTTGAGGAGTGTAGAAAAAAGAGAGGGCAACGAAAGAGCAGAAACAAGAATAAACAAGTTTCCCCAAAAGATTTTAAGCAGTGCAAGTCAGCAAGGTCCAAGTAAGACATCTTCCATAGCAACTAGTGAGGAAAGGCAGTCCAGACACAGCTCTGAAGAAGCAAGTCAATCAGGTTCTGGGAAAAGAAGTAAAGGGATTGGAAAAGACATATTACCTCCTAGACTGAGTTCTGTTGATCAATCAGAGATTAACCAGTCTATAAGTAAAAAGAAAAGTTACGATTCAAAACAAACTCATGAAAGCTCAATATACAAATCATACACTCATTACAGTCCAGATGATTGGGAAACAGAAAGTGATGAATCTGGGAAAGACAACAGAAGATCTAGTACAATTTATTAATGTTTTTAATTCAGATTTGAAGTTGATTTTCATGTTATCTTATGATATAACACACCAAAAATTTGGAAGGGGGGGGGGGACAGGGATTTGATGCACATTACCGTATGTATATTGGATCAAAAGGCAACCTGATCAATTGAAGATATATATATTTTTTCCCCCTGTCATAATTCTCCAAGATCCAAGTGTTAACTCGTATACATGTGGGGGGCGTGGATAGACATGAATGTGCCTTACTGTGTAGCAAAGTTAAGATAGACTAAGAGTAGTACTCTCATCTGTAGGCTTTATTGCAATGAACTTGTATATTAACAAAGCAAGAAAAAAAAACTGTATAAAGATAAATATTTGTAGTTGTCTACAAATTATCCTACAAAGATTAAAGAGACTTGTGTGCAAATAGATCACTATTGTTGTAGTTATTTATATTGTCAGTATATTATTACATTGTTAAATAGAGTACTGCTTATTAGGTGTAAGCGAATTAAGTGATGATTTGTTTCAAGTCAAATCTTTTGTTTCTAAAAAGAAAAATTTATGATTAATATGCATTCATGGCTTCTAATTTAGTGCTTGTAAGAAAATATTTATCTCTCATCGTAACATATTTTGTGTAAAATTGAATGAGTTAATTTCAGTTTGTACCTGGCACATAACATAAGGGCAGTTGTGTTTGAAAAATTTTATTTTTTTATAACATATAAACATTTATATAGCTTTTATAAAGCATAATGTACAACTTCATTTGAGTAACATAAGTTGTAGAAAGTAATTTGCTTGTAAATAAAATGCTACTACAATTTTGATTCCGTTAACCAGTTGAAGGTTTGAGTTTTACGATCCGCACTGGGATTGATCATAACGTTGATGATTCTTGGACCGTCCTTCACCTGTGAAAACAATTTTATAATTAATTTGTTACCTGCAAAAAAACACAATTTAAAGTATGTTAGCTTGAATGCTGCTGTACACTACTGAAAACATGGCTGTTTTGGTTGACCAGAAACATGTGCCTGAGTAGTGAACCTTCATCCAGTTGATGGCCATTGTTTGCCTACGTAAGGCAAACAAGTAGGTAAATAAAAAAAGGATGCTGTTATGTGTAAATATGGCTTTGGGAAATGTTAAAATAGTTCAGTAAAAGTTATTGTTGTGTATCTATAAATGTGTTATGTTTCATGAAAAAACAAAACATCCTGGGACAAATGCAAACAAATGTATATATAATTGTATTAATAAAATTAAGTTCATTTGATTCAAATTTGTTATTGCATTTACTTTCTTACCATCAAACTCTTCCTGACCGCTTCTTCAAGTTGTGGAATACTAGTGCAAAAGAACCCTTCTTTGTCGGAAAGTGCCATCATTCTTTCATAATGTGTGTTTACTGTCAGTGATGATGGGGGTGTGCTGAAACAGAGAATGGAACATTAAATAATCACAGTTTTAACCATACTGTTGTTACTTGTTTGTGCATTTAGAGAAGTAGGAGTCCTTAGGTTTGAAATACAGGGGAATGTTGAGAAAGTGAAAGGGATCAATGTGATATCATGTTCTATTTTTACTAGTGTGAGGTCAGGCAGTAACGGTTCACAACAAGACACACCTGTGTGCTTTCAATGAGTGCTGTTCGTACCGGTCACAGTACACAGGTCAAAATTTACAGTATGAATGTGAATCAATGGTTAATTAAGTCAGATTCCTCCCCCTCACGCACATGCACACTAACCTGCATATTCTATTAAATCTGCTGTGTGTTTTAATAATCAGAATTGAGAGTATAAAATACAGTACAATGGTATATTTTGTAAAACCTTAATTTCATAGCAAAGAGATTAACATAGACATTATTAACAGTAATATCTGAAGTGTTTTGAAGTTTGCTATGTTTACTTCATATGCTTATGAAAAACAGGTATCATAGTCTTACTATGAGATGTGATGCCTGTGCGTATGCCCAAGATAATATAAACATTTTTTGTAGAAAAGAGTAAATGAAGTGTAAAGAAAAAATTCGAATTAACAAGTGATTCAACAATTATTCAAGTAAAACAAACTTCTATTAGGATTTTCAACATAAAATTTATTTATCCCTGGGAGCAGTTTTGCCTTTCTTAATCTGCTACTCCCTTTGTATTTTCATTCCATGACAAAACAAAGCACAAAATTTAACACATCTATTTTATTTTAATAATACTAGGTAGTAGTTTCTCATCCTGTCTCCAATTTTTACCCTCTGTCACATACATTAACCTGCCATTATACATTAATCTTTCATTAAGGATTCTTTACAAGATGTAATTGATAGTAGTGCATGATCTACAGAAGCCTCTGACACTTCCAAGGAATCAATCACAAAGTGTAGACATGATGAGGTTTGCCGCAGCATTGCCATTGACAAAACTGGAAACAAACAAATCAACCTTGTGCAGCAAAACCTCCATCCCCCTGAATCATTAATTTTCTACCTTTCTGTGCACTCGTTCTTTTTGTATGGACTTGGAGTGTAGAGGAAAAATTAAGGTCTTTCCTCTATGGCGAAGGTTGGTTAGGAAGGTTGAGTTTCATACTTTGTTTACTTTTATAAATTTGTTTATTTAGTGATTACTTTTTTTATTTATTTTAATATTTGTCCAACTGCCTTCACTCATACTATGCAAGTATTTGATATAGTTACTTTTATAAGAATTAATTTTAAACAGTGATTTTTAGATCCCAGTAACATGTACTTGTTAGTGCTACACAACTGCAACATTACTCCCCTCCACTTGCAAGTGTCAATTACAATATTACTTCTTTTAATCACACTAGTATTGACAAAATGTATACATATTGTGGACACACACAATTGCATAAAAAATACAAGAGCCTGGTGGTTTAAGGAAAAACCTTCTGTTTCATTGAGTGAATAAAGTAAATGCACATAACTTGTTACTTGTCTCGAGTTCAGTGAAATTTAATATAATGAGAGTAAATTATGACAGAAAACAATATTTCATAGTGGTCACAAGTGTGTCTTCCTTGGAGTTCCTAGGGAAGATACATCTTGCCTTTTTTGTAATTTGTGAAACTGAGGAAAGTGGTTCAGGGCATAGCACATTGACTTCGCAGCCAGGAGGTAAAATATGATCCTGACCGGGGTTTTTTGTATTTTCCCTCAGACATAAAGCGAATGCTGAGATGGTTCAAAAAGGCCATGATGACTTCCCACCATCATCCTATCAATCTTTCACCCCTCATTATCACCATATTACTTAATTTAGTATTCCCTGCAAGAAGGCAGGAGGCTCTTGCCCTTGATGGGATCTTAGTTGGCTAATAACAATAATAATAATAACAATAATAATAATAATAATAATAATAATAATAATAATAATAATAATAATAATAATAAATGTGTATACTTACACTTTTGTCACTTCTCCTGAGCTTTGAATCTCATTAAACAATTCTTTTTCAAATCCTCCATAGATACCATTATTATTTACAATTACAATGGTAATTGGTAGTTTATACCTGAAAAATAGACATAAGTTCAATGGATTGTTCCACTTCAAAAGAGGAGTTAGAGAAAAACTAGACCAAAGAATTTTTTTTTGAAATTGAGTTACATATAACAATATTGCAAAGAATGATTAATGCAACTGAAATTTGCATTTTCCACTTCCATCATTCATCTCCAATAATAAGAGCAAAACAGTTCTTGCAATGAATAGTTAGTAGATTTTTGCTATGCACAGAAGAGGACTACATGGTTTGCTCTGGTTTTGCTTTTACTTTGCTACACTACAATTGTGTAACAAAGTATTTAGCATGGTATTAGTATATCACCTATGTTGCAATAAAGAAGCAAATCTTGTGTTTTGTTTCACATTTCAGAAAGTATCTCAGGAAAGTTATAATGTATCATTTCATCCACCTTGCTCAAATTCTTTGAAGGCATGCAATTCTTTTAAAATAAAAATTATACCTCTTATCAAGAGGCTGAAAAAGAAAGAAAAATACCTTTTCATTTAATGAAAACTACAGATACCCTAAGGCTTTTGACAATTTTGTGTTACCTAAAGTGACAGTTGTGAAACTGTCCAACAGAAACATTGTAGATAGTATGAGTTTCTTTGTACTTAAAATAAGTTTTAAGTCATAATCCACCAATGTAGGATAGGATGCCAAAACCAACCAACCAAAATAGGATGCAAAATAAAAATGGGATATTTCTGTACATTTTTGGAATTTTGATGTATGTCTATGTGGTATTACAAGACTACTTAACAAGATTAATTTTTTCACTTGAACTTCACGACAATGTGAGACATTTTTCAACTTAAATAATTTGATTTGGAGAAATTATTAGATTTTGAATAAGTTTCTGAGGGAATTATTTGAACACATTTTTCATAAATATTGAATAAAATGACATTCAACAAGAGTCTGGAGGCAAAATGAAAACTGAATCACTCTTTAGGTATTGTTACTAATAAAAAAATAGATTGCATCCCATTTTTGGGTCAATGGCAAAACGTGTAGGCTTATGTCCTTGTGATGCATTACTATGTTCGTATTTAAGATTATGTCTCTTGTGATATGAAGGTCAGAAAATGGCGACCGAAACGTTGGCACCTGTGCCCTGGATGTGGCGTCTTCTGGATAGCCAAGTAAGTACTGACTCCGGCCGCGGAAGCCTACGCCCTCTCATTCCCCCCCCCCCCCC